CTCTCTCTCTCTCTCTCCCTCTCTCTCTCTCTCTCTCTCGCTCTCCTTCCTACCTTCACATGCCGATCTGATTTCCTCCATCGTCCATTTTTACGCGCCCATAACCTTGTTTGGTACGTTGGGGGTTTCGTCCGTCACTAACGCTGGCTGTTTATGTGTGCGTGCGTGCGTGCTTGTCTGCTTGCGCCTGTGCGCGTGCGTGCGTGCTTGTCTGCTTGCGCCTGTGCGCGTGCGTGCGTGCTTGCGCCTGTGTGAACGTGTCCCCCCCACACACACACACACTTGCAGCGCGTTTTGCACTGGCGCGTCGATTCGCCCTCCTCCGCTTTTAACATTGATTGCAGCCGGCTTCGCGCGCACACGCAAGTCTTCTGTATATGTATCGGCTGTGACATGCTGGCGGGCAGGCAGACAGGCGGGCGGGAGGGCGCTCTCGTACGTCTGCGGGGAGGGGGCACAGTTTCGAAGAAGTGGGCAGTATTAACTATCTCCAGGACCGACCCAACAAATGTCGTGCGTCTGGGGGGAGGTGGGTGCATGGGAAGGGTGCCAGTGACAAGCGGCGGACAGGGGAAGGGGTGCAGGGGAGGTTGTCGCATGCGATTTCGCGTAGGCGATGTGACGGTGAGGGGGTTGCAGCGTGTGCTGCAGAGAGNACCATATGTCTATGTGGGTTATGGTGTGATCGGTCGCCATGCGTGTATAGTGTGGGCTTCGTCTGATTAGGGGAACGTCATTATTGTGCGCCAGTCGTTCGTTTGATAGCGGGATAGAAGGATGTGGGATGGAGCCTCTATGTAGAACATTCGTCGATGAGACTCGGACAATTTGTCATGCCGGCGTTGTCTTTCATTTCAGCCGCGATTGCGTCATGCGATGTACTTTACGATTCCATGGTTTCCATGCCCGTCTCTCCCTCTCCTATCTCTCCTTTCCATAGCTCTTTCTTTCTTCTTTCGCACTCTCTCGCTCGCGCCCCTTTCTCTTTCTTTCTTTCTTTTTTCTTCTTTCTTTTTCTTTATTCCTTTCTTTTCTCCTCCTCTCTCTCC